TCACAAGTATTGCCGCACACGCCACTCCGTTTCCACTTTTTTTGCCATTTGTCGTCACCACCCTCGGCTGCCCACCCCCGGAAAGTCTGTTCTATTCCGCTCGTGCACTTAGAGAAAATATGTGGTGGCACCTATGAAACTGTCTTGCTGGTCGGAACAAATGACGTTTGAAAAGAATTCGTATCTGTAAGATAGACCAACTATTTTTTGATAGAGCCCAAATGGACAGCTATGAAATAGTTTCATTTCATTACTATGAGTGTTTTTTAACCTTTTAAAGAAAAACTGAATCTTTTAATCGTAAATTTATTGAAATAATTAGTGCAGAATCTTTTCTGAGTGTGCTCCGGCTTTGTGAAATAAAAAGGATACGATGCGCGAGCGCACACACATAAATATCCCTGGCACACACTCTCGCACACACACACACGCAGTCACTCACACACACACACACTCGCAAACGATGCCGGAACTGTTGTCAAAGGAGGAAGTGGATGGCCGCAGGGGGAGGAAAACAGGAGGGGGCTGGGGACCCATTCAGCGGACGGAGAAGAACCGCAGCAACCGGCAAAGAGGGCAATCACCCGACCCGAGACATCGGATCACAGACTGTATATGATTCCTGCTCGGGGTTGCAATTCCTATTGATTTTCCATTGTTTTTGCTGCCGCTGCCGCTGCTGCAGTGCGACAAAAAGTTGCCAGAGAAGATTTAGGAGCTTCCCAGTTTTCGGTTAAATGCAACCCCTCCCTTGGCTTTCTTTCATCTGCCACCCGCAGCTGTGGCTTCATCTCCAATTTGTTGCAAGTGCCTCTTGGCAAAAAGTAAACTAACCCAATGCATCCCGACATCGCATTTGACACAGTATGCAGATTAGCATCTAATGCCCCCTCAATACTTTCCGTACTATACAGAGATCTCTCTGCAGCTCTCCACTTAAGATTGATTGATTGTCAAGTGGAATGGACGGGTGGAGTGGGTGGTGGTTATGACCCTGCTGGTTGCCTCGACCGCTTCACAATTCCGGAGCAAATGCAATTATTCAGAATACGAGTTGGTGTAAGCTTATTAGAGTTATGAGCTTAGCGCTCAGAGAGTTGAAGGATGTCAGAGCAGAGTAGGCCAGATACTTGGTATCTGACAGATAGGTTATTTGTTCGAGTTATGGCGGGTTAAGACCCAGGGAAATATATTTCTTTTCTTGTTTTTACCAGATTTTCTATGCATTCGTTGTTCTCGTTAGTCGGGGGATTATGTCCTGGACTTGAACAAAAGGAGTTAGCAAATATAACTAGAAACTAACTAAAACAAACTTGATATCATAAATATTCCGGTAAATAAAACCGACAAATGCGTAAAGCTCGTGGTTCGTTATTACACTCTTTTAGTTTATTTGATACGACATTTTAAAATTACTCGATTGCTTGCTGGGTGTCTGCATTTAATTGCTGTTGCCAGCTAATAAATTTTAATTGTCCTCAATTAGCAACGGAATGCAGCGGAAAATATGAGCAGCAAGAGGCGAATGGAAAACCGGGGTTGCTGCTCTTTTATGCGAAGCCTTCGCTTGCATTTAAACAAATTTTCCCTGGGTCGGAAGTTGCTTGCATTTTTTTTAATGTGGCCTGAAAATTCCATTAGAACTGACATATTCTGCCCATACTCCACTCAAACGAAGACAGTAAGGCTCAATTTAAGAAGAAGGCAAGGCACACAGAAGGCTGCACATTTGGCGAGGGCAAAGGCAATACTTGTATTTCCAAGTGGCAACCGGACTGCCCAAGTTGACCCTTCCTCCGCATCTCAGCCGCCGTCATCATCATAAGCCTCACACATGCTGCTCACATGTTCTGGACGAGACGAATGCATTAAGCAGAAATTTCATTCATAAAGATTTCATTTCATTTCGTTCTTGCCCCGACTCAAAGAGACCACAAGGCGTTGGCCTGGACCCGCAAAAATAAGTTCAAGAAGAGCCCGAACCGTAGGAGATTTATTGCCCAGGGGCATGGGTAGTGCCTTTCGAGAGGATCTAAAAAACCAGATGGAATTGGCCAGGACTAATACAAGTACGCAAATAATGAGGCCAGATGACATGTATGTTTTCCAATAACTAAGGCTTATTTTTAATTTAGAAACTAATTAACTATGCAGCTAATGAAACAACAGAAGAATTCAAAATGAGTTACCGCACAGGGGCAAAAGCTACACCCAAATCTGACCCCCATTCTACGAAGCCACTGCCCAGAGCATCTCAAAGGAGAGAGCCTGAAATTAAAATTCGAGCAGCGTCAACAAAAATATAATAAATGGAAAATTGTTTAAATATTTGCCACACACGAATGCGAGGCATGCAAATTCATTGAGCGCTTGAAATTCTCAATTTAGCAATTCGCTTTGCTGCAACTCAAGGAATGCAAACATGGGGCATCAAGCAAATTATTATTGTTGTGTACCTTGAATTTTGCAGAGGACGTGTTTTACGAACGCCTTTTCCTCTGGGACTTGTCGCTTGGCTGGAAAATTGCACCGAACGGAAATTGAGGCTGAAATTAATAATTCGAGACCCTTTGCTATGCCAGCTGCGGAAAAAGTGCCCAAAAAACTTAATTGAAAATGCTCTAAGCAGAGGAAGTTGCCAATCTTGGATCTTACTTTGTCTTTACTCTTTCTTGTTACTTTGCATAAGCTGAAGTCGTTGTTTTGCTTTCAATTTAACCGCAAAGCAATCTCAATCAATCTCAATAGTTATTGACCAGCCAGGCGGCCCCCCGTCGAATTTCCTATATCCACCTACCTAAGACGCCAATATTTCACGTGCTTTTTTCGCTTTTTTGCTTCTCGCGCCGCCGCCGCCATCGATCAATGAATCTTCGACGGCGGCGCGTTCCGACCGCAATAAGTCAAATACGAGGCCATCGAGCTTCATTATGTTCAAAAGCCCAACCGCAGAAGGGAGCCAACCTCTTCGGGCCAATATAGCCACAGCCACTACAAAAGACATAGCATAGCAGCCACAACGACGACTCGTCTTGGCCCCAAAAGGCAAGAACAATGCAGCGCAGATAAGTCAATTATATTGACTTGGCCAAGAACTCTTCGGGGCTGCCTGTCTGGGGCTTTTAAGGTGGCAAGCAGCTCTTTGCTGCTCCTCTCACAATTCCCACAGTCGAAAGTCAACGTCAGATATTTTTTTGCCTTTGGCCCGAACCAAGGCGATAGCATCAACGCCGCCAGTGGTAAAGTGGCAAGCAGTGGGCTAAGATCGTTAAAATGCTTTCTTTTAATTTTAAAGATTTACTTTTATAGAGTAAAATGTTTTGTCTTTAACTGTTACATAAGAAACTAAATATTTCATTTATCTTTGAGTTGCACAATAGCACCATATTGACCGCACTTATTGTTAACTTTTAGCCCACAGTTCGATAATTTCGGTGAATCGCTTTCGCCACACTTTGCTCACAAAATATCTTTTGACCAGACGGAGTTTTATTATTTTCCTGACTGGCACGTAGATTTATACTCATATTTATTTTTTTCATGTTATTTCCTTTTTTTCTGAATTGTGTAGCATCTTCGAGCGCTTTGTGTTTTTGGTCTTGGAACGTCAAGAGTGTAGACGCCATTTACTGATTACATTATTGCTCGCAAATTGCTAGATTATAGTTTGCTTGTTGCCAGCAAATTATTGCTGCTATTATTGACTGACAAATTATAGTGATTAGTTTTTCATCTTTTTCAATAAAATGGAAATATTCAAGTGTGGGCAATTTCGCGCATAATATGTGAGAAAGGTTCGTTGAAGGGGACAGACAAGGCTGGCCAAAATATTTTTTAATGAGATTTTGGTTGGCCCCGGCAATAAAAGACAATATTAGAAACTGGAAAGTTAGTGAACAGTACTTAAAAATGCAGCAGTATCAGTAAATATAATGATGAAGGAAATGAAGTTTCAATGGAATACCATAACAAAAGAAAGATTCTTTGCAAGCAAAAAACTATTTTATTATAAGAGAACTTCACCTAATATTAACATATTCCACTTTTCCAACATTTTCCAGCATTTTCCCTGCGCTATTTGTCTCAAAACTGTTCTTCGATTCTCTAATGCTTTTGATTCACACTTTGATACTTTTTTCCCACCCATCGCGACAAAGCAAACATGAAAGCAGAAACCAGGAAACCGGCAAGAAGTTCGCAGTGAAAGCAAAGTGCCGAGGAACAAGTGCAGTCCACATGGCGGCAATCTCTTTTCTATTCTCTCAGAGTTTCCAGAGAGCTGGCTGAAAATCTGCAAAGCCCAGAGAGTTTTCCCACTCTCTGCACTTCTCTCGGCGAAAAACCAACCCCCCAACGAAATACAAAACTCACTGTGCAGAGTCCTGCCAATTTTCCTGCTGGGAAACTATGCTGGAGTACTACGAGTTCGTATTTTCGCTGATAAGCGGCCGCCGCTGTTTTCCCTTTTCCGCTTGTGGGGCAGAAGGGGCCGAACATAATTGTAGCTCCAGAGGAGAGAGGGGAGCAAGGATTCGATCGATTTTTCATGCTCCCCAAAAAACAGAGCGGGGCTCGGGCCAAAAAGAAACTGCTGCATACGCACAGGGGCAAAAGAGCTTCTCGGGCTGGGGCTCCTCTCTCTCTGTATTGGTGTGTGTGCTGCTGTGAGTGTGTACGGTGCCGTGTATGTATATGTCTAAGGTGTGTTAACCTCAACTGCTCCAGCACACACACAGCCCAGCAATGAATCCAAAATCCAATGGGATTCTTTAAAAAAGCGTTAAAAAAAAGTATATTTTGTATTGCAAACTCTTTTTCTTTTTAGGATCAAGAGCAGTTAACTTCTTTTCCCTTCTTTTTTGCCTGCAGCAATTTCTATAATTTCCGTACAAATTTACAGACAACACATTTTCCACACTTTTCTTGTTTCAGCTTTTACACGAGATATTCTTAAACAAAAACGGTATATTTACATAAACTTTCATTGGACCTGTGCTTACTTTAAGTTATTTGCGTTTTTTCCAATTTCCTTTGCCGTTACGCTTTGTTATAAACTTCAGCTTCTAATCCCAGTTATTGATTTTATCGAGTGCTTGTGTTTTTACAACTATAATCTCTTTCGGGACTCAATACCCGGTTAGTTTCACGTATTATTTGGTTTTAGTTTCCATCAACACTTTTGCACTGGCACACACACTTGGATATATCTTATACATATATTTTATTCCTTTTCGCTTGTGTTGTATATCCTTTGTTGAATTTCCTTTATTCAGATTTATGGGGAAGCAAAGAATTTTGTATTGGCTCTCTTAATGGACTTTTCCAAATTTATTTAAATCATTTTCGCTGTGCCCATTTCGCACACACGCGCACACACATGCACCGTAACACGCGACGCGAGACACGCACACAGACACAGCAAACGTATAGAATTTTTCACTGCGCCTATGTATTCGAGGGGTGGTGGGCGGTAGTTATGCTCTGTGCTATATTGGTGTGAGTCTCTGTATATCCTTTGGCGCGGACCGAACCGAAATTCAAAAGCCTGGAGACACCGCCGTCGTTGTCGTCCTTCCACGAGCAACTCTATCGACACAATGAGCACAGAGCATATTGGAAAAGTCCTCAGAGCGCGCTGTCTAGGCCAACCGAGTTTTCCACCACCAAATAACATGGGAAGCAGCTCTGCAGAGAGCGCACACTCGCCTGTTTAGTGAGTGGGCGCAGAGAGAAAGGGAGAAAGTGGTTCCGGAGCAGAGAGAAACTGCTTGAAATCCCCACAGAGAGAGAGAGAGAGCAGGGAAAACAGCGAACAGCGGACCAAGGAAAACTCTCCGCTCCGAATCATATGTTTTGCATCCCATCCAAAACTCTGGGCCTACAGATTCCATCTCCTCCACAACCGCAATGGGAACTTCCTGGCTTCCCACGTTTCGTTTATAGCTAACCTCTGGACCAACTATATTTCCCCCGACTGCTCCCCTTACCCTCCCATGGCCAGTAGGTGTTGCTGTTCATCTGTATTTGTGAAATATCCTGTAGTTTCATGAGTTTCCGTTACACTCTCGAGGTGCGTATTTTTTTACACATTTGCGAGGATGTTTTTTGGGCGAGCGATGCTCGGACTTAATAGGTTTGCGGGAATGGTTTTTGTAAACTTTATAAGGGTTTTGTGGTGCAATGTAATTTGAGCAGCAGGCTTAAAAGCATGAGAAGGCTATTAAGTAGTTTACAGGTATATCTGCGGATGGAGATTACGCTAGATTCGTAGATACTTAGTGAAAAACTACCGCGGCAGTATGAAATGCTTTAGAAGTTTGCGGAGTTTGTTATAACTTGGTAATAATTGGCCAAAAACTATTTTTTATTGAAAAAAATATCCCAACATTTAGTAGGAAGCCTTTTTAACCCTACATGTTTATACAATCTTGAGCAGAATCACCAACCAAATTAATGTGGAAATGCACAAGTATAAACAAAATCTCGGGCTAGAATGGGATTAAACATACAGATTCATACATTGATATGTCCCAATAACCGCAAAAATCTGTCATGCCCAGACATTTGAAAGATGATTTCTCTTTTAAATTGAATTTTAATTGCTTTCAATTTGACAAATTAAATTGAGACAATCATTATATTATGAAGAAATAATCTCTGCGGCGCTAGTTGGAGCTCGTGTATATTGAGTAACGAGTATCTGATAGCAGAGTAACTCGAATTTAAATTAGTGTTATAACTATTTATCCGATGTTAATGGCAAAATCAAATCGTTCACTACAACAAGCTGAAGCAGCTACCGTAGGAAATCAAATTCATTCTTCCGTTTAGCAGTTTCCGAAATTTTCCTCCCACTTCCTGTGAAGCGCGCGGCACACCCAAATTTTAAGAGGCAACATAAAAATAAAATCAACTAAGGTAAATCAAAAGGGCAAGGAGCAAATGAAAGGCAAGAGTCATAAATACTCATTTTGCATGAATGAGAAAATAAAACGAAATTTGCATTTGACTGCACACTACGACGACGAAATTATTTGCCAGCAATATACGGTTATTTAAGGTTGCGCCCGACAGTTATGCACACGATAAACGCCCTGAAGTTCGTATAGAACGCAACAGGAAGTTGGCCAAAAGCGCAGAAAACAAAAAATATTCAAGAAAAACAAAAAACTTAAAAAGGCGGAATGGGGAAGGGGAAGGGGGAAGGAGGAAGGAAGCACGCAAAATGCGCGCCATATGATCGAGGGAAAAGGGGGAAGCCCTGAGAGCCGCGAAATGGGAACACGTCAAGTGGGAAATGCGGGAAAAACGAAGAAGTGCCCCCGAAAATGGGCATTCGGTCTTGGAGAGTCTGCGTTGTTTACAACTCACGCACACAGCCACGGCTCTACACACACACATGCAATGAAGGGACCTCACGTTACCGTTACGCGCTTCCAATCGGAATTAAATTTCACACCAAAGCCGGAGCTACAATTTCAAAACACACCGAACGCGAGGCCAGCAAACGGAATTCTGAGTGGAACCTTTGAGATATTTTATCCAAGGAGCGGTCGCGGAACGCAGTGGTAACGGAACACAGCCCCTACCGAAAAGAGAGAGAAGGTGCGAGCGAGCGAGACAGAGAAGGGGTGCACACTTTTGCAGACATTTGGCATTGCATTTCTTGGGCGGATGGGGGTGCTAGAATGGGGATAACGAAACCCCGGATTAGGAGGTCCCCACGAAACTCTGTAATTAAGCAGCCAGTAATGCGTGCGACGGGGAGGGGGAAGAGGGGGAAAAGTGTGGAAAATGGGCGGGAAAACCGAGCGAACGGGGCCAAAAAGGCAGCACAAGCAAAAGGGGTAGCGCCAGTTTTAATTTCAAATTCAAAAAGAAGGCCAATTAATTAGGCAGGAGGGTCGGATTTAAAACGACTACTGCAAAAGCCCGAAAAGATGGCGAGGTGATGACGATGGTGATTTTGCGATGCCGTTGACAGGTGGCCCGGGTGGGTGGAAAATGGGCTAAAATCTCAGTGGCCGGATACCTTACACGAAAAGCGCGTTAAAAGTTTTGATCCCAGTGCGGGAAAACGCTTGGTTTCGGCGGAATCCCAAACAACTGTTTGGTTTTTTGTACGTAGAATGCAAGAAAAAAGAGAGTTGGACCGGGTTTTATTTCAAAGAATTATATTTAATCACTTTTTACTTTTAAAGGAGTACGAAATCTATTGACTGGAAAAAGGTTATTTTATATATGTATGTACCTATTCCTCAAGTTCTTGCAGCAATCTGTCTTGAATATACTTAACTTTTGAAGGGGCCAACAATTTTTTCAATGGATTAGCTATTGTTTCTGGTCATAAATCCCCGTCTAGACACTTTTTGATTTTATTCAAGCCAAAAAACTTTGCCAGCCCTCTCTCTAAACAATACATTTATCCATTGCGTCCATGGCATCCAAACCAGCGTGGAACCCATCAACTTTTAATTTTGTTTCAATTTTTTTCGCAATTCCTTTTTTACTTTCTGTATTCATATTTAGAGGCGCTATGCATTCGCTGAATATTTTCAACAAATTTCATATTCATAGCGCGTTGAGTTGTTTTTATTAGAGGGCTGGCAAACAAAGCAAACAACAAATCCAACCGAAAATGTTTACATTGACTGGGGCTTCATACCAGCAAAACTGCTGGATTTTCGCCACTCTTGTTGCGTTCTTGGGCATAATTTCACTCATTAAAATTCCATAAATCGAGGCGAAAAGCGGCAACGACGTATAATTGCTTTTCACTCCTGATTGCATCGCGTGCTCGATAAGAATTGATTGGATTGCATCGCATTGGAAGCGAGCCGCATCTCACCTTGCGCCAATTAAAAGGATCTCAAGTTGTCTCGTGTCCCTGGTGTTTCGAGGGATATCATGCCCAGCTCCCTACATCCTCTTTTCCTCTTTTTGCCTGTCCCAACATTTGGCCACACATTGCCGGCACATGTTTGCTTTATGAGTTATTCCCCTGGAAATTTTTGAAAAACAAAGATGAGCATATGGGCAGCAAAAGTGAGACGCCCTCGCCCTCATAAAAGGTTCAATTTCGTTTGGATAAGTTGACCTCTCGACGGGAATGGAAACGGGGATTGTAAAATGACAAGGGCCACGCATGCGCACACGCTCTGGCTTTTTTTTTTAATTTTTATTGTTTTGACTCTATCAAAAAGTGCTTAATCCCGCTCATCCATATGGGAAACATGTCCGGGTTTGTAATGATGATGACATTATTGGCTGCGCGGAGACCAGCATCTTTTTGTGCGGTTGCGGCTTTAAATGTAATTATAGGGTCTGGGATCAGGAACCCCAAAATAAAAACAGAACCCAAGCTCAGTGATCAATGCCGCAGTAGTTTGTCTTTCGTCAACATCTGCCACTTCGCTTCTCCAGTCGCTTCTAGTGCATTTTTGTGTCGCAACCATTTCAGTTTTAAGTCGCACTGTTGTGACATTTGCTTCATTTGTCAGCGCTTCATTAGTCACCAAAGGACCTGCCCGGACACTCCCTGACACCCGATATGTGTCCATATCGATGAATTGGTCCCTAATTTATGTTCTTTCAACGACACCTAAGGGAAGCGGCAATTGGATCGCGTGGGATACTAAAAAAATAGATATTAAACTCTTCGGAGGGGATGAATTCCTATATGCATATGGAAAAGTTAGACATACAACTTAAAAGTGCGGGAACGGTATTAAGGTTATCTACACGTGGAAGTGAAGAGGATTATAATATTAGGAGCACAAAAAAACTGAATAAACGTTAAGCCATTCCACAATTGCTTAGTTTTGGAAAGGTTCCACATATTGATTTCTTATTTTCCTAGCTTACTCTTTTTTATAAGATTGCCTTATCCCCCAAAATTCTAAAAAAAATGCATTGCTTTCAACTTTTTCCTGCAACTCACTTGCCATTCTGTGTGGCTTCAGTCTTTCAACTTTGCATTAAAACATTTATCTTCATTTTGCGAAAACAACTCACAGCCGCATTATCCCCCGAACTTTGTGTTCACCCATGAGGGCTGAGCCTGTTACCAGTTGAGACACATTTCTGACCAGTCCAACGGTGGCGTCTGACATGGCCTGAATCCCTCTATCCCAAGGACCACGCCGAGCGTCCTGAAAATCAGGCAGACCTTCATCATCAGCTACTCAAAGAAGCGAGCCAGTGATGCCAAATGGAAGACAGCAGAAAGCAAGAAAGCAGCTAATTAGATACACATATTGGTGCTATAATAAACCTATTTGTAATTATTCTATAATTACTTTTAATGAAAACATTCAAATTGTCATATGTGTAAGTAAAAAATGTTGGCAATTGGTATTCAAGCTTAAAATAAATGAGTACTAATAATTAGTTAAAGATACACTTTCGTAACTTCAGAACTTGAAAGACAAGTAAGACTGAATCAGCCATCACTGGCGCAGGACATGCGGACATCCTGCTGATTCCACAGCACTTCGTAGCCCATTCCTGTGGCTTAACACTCAACTCGAGTCACGTACGCGTCCTGCAATTTCCTCACACCCCGGGGTTTTCTCTTGACATGAGCGGGACTTTGAGTTCGGGTTTGGGTACTCAAGACGGGATCTTGACTGTTTGGCTCTTTTGTCACAGTT